CGGTCTGACGCGCGGGCGGGCGGGCGGGCTCCGGGACCGTCCGGGACGCTGGCCCGGTCGGCAGTCCCCTGGATCTCGGCCGGTGTCACGTTGTCACGTGGTCGTTTCGTAACGCCTCCTTTTCCTTGTGATTGCCAATGTCAAGGTGGTGGCGGCCCGAGTGCCGGCGGAGTGCCGGGCTGTCTGTGTGCCGTGCTGTGCGCCGGCCGGGCCCCGCCCCGCCGCGCCCCGCCCCGCCCCGCCCCGCCCCGCCCCGCCCCGCCGCGCCCCGCCGCGGCGTGGGGACCGCATGGGCATGCGCGGCAAGTCGCGAATCTGGCGAGGCGGGGCGGGGCGGGGCGGGGCGCGGCGGCTAGGTGCCGCGGCTGCCAGTCTCGACACAGCCCGCCGCCGTGTTCGCCGCGCTTGCTTTTGGTGTGTGCGCGTCCGTCGTCCCGCCGTATGGAGATGAGTGTCTTGATGGCTAACATGGACCGCGACCCTGGCCCTGCCGGCCCTGCCGGCCCGGGCCCTCTCGGATGACGTCACCAGCCTGTTGCGTGAGGTAAGGGCCGCGCGAAGGGCCGTCCCTCCGGCCTGGTCCAGGTGTGAGTGTGTGTGTGTGAGTGTGTGTGTGTGTGTGTGTGTGTGTGTGTGCGTGTGTGTGTGTGTGTCAGCGAGCTGAACCGCCCAACCTTCGCCCCGCGTGCACTCAGCCGACGCTGCCGCACGCTGGCGCTGGCGGTGACGCGCGAGCCTGGCGTCGCGTCGCGACCGCCCAGCGACCAGGACGGCCCGACGGGACGGACGGCCCGCTGTTGCTGCTGCTCCGATGCGCTGGCTTGCTTCCCCTGCCGTCGCGTGTCGCGGCCCCTTTTTTTCGGCATCGGAATTGCCTCGCGCGGCGTGCCATCGTCGGAATGGCTTTATTAGAGCACGTGTTCTTCGAGGGGCTGTTTGTGCGGTTTATAAACACAGTGCGGCCGGGGGAAGGGGGGGGGGGGACTCCCCCGCCCTCGTCCTCTCCGTGTGTGCATGTGTGTGTGAGTGTGACTGACGCTCTCTCTTTGCTCCTCTTCGTGCCGATTTTAAATTTAGCGGGTGACGCGGCGGTGCGCGTCGCGCCCGTGTGACGTGGCCGCGCTGCCATCCTCGTCGTGTAAACGAAGGCAGGCGCTCGCGTCGCCAACGGGATCGGACAGTCGGCGATCTTGGCCGCGGCTTTTTCCTGTATCTCTCGGCAAACTGCCGCCGCACAGTGGGCCAGAAGACCAGTGGAGGCGGCCAAAACTCTAAACGCGTTTTGGGCTGCAGAGTTGCTAAATGGGACTCGAACCGAACGTATGACCCCACCAATGGATTGCTCTCCGAACGAGGAATCCATTGGTGGGGTCACACGTTCGGTTCGAGGCCTGTTTAGTGATTCTGGAGCTCAAGACGCGTCTAGAGTTTTGGCCACCTCCACCGGTTTTCTGGCCCACTGTGCGCCGCTGCCGCCGTGGCCGCCCCGTCGGAGACGTCGGTTTTCCCTTCAGGATGCCCAGACGACGTGGCCGCCACCTGCGAGGCTGATCCTTCCGAAAAGCGCTCTCGTCGCTCCGTCTCTGTCGCACCCGTTGCGGGATGGAGCGACGATAGTGCTGCAGTGTGGCGGCGTCACGGCGGCGTTATGGCAAGCCGCTGTCAGTGTGGTGGCGGCCCGGCCAGGCCTGGCCGTCTCTGCCTGCCGGGCCAAGCGGGGCACTGCCAGGGCACTGCCAGGGCACTGCCAAACTCGCACTGCCGAACGCGCCGGCCCGGCCCGGCGGCCCGGCGGCCCCGGCCCCAGTCGCTAACTGCCGCGGCCTTGGGTCGGTCCCAGCCATCACAGCAGGCAGCGAGCTCACCTGCAAAAATTACGCCCCGGCCTTTTTCCTTGGCGTTTCCTACCTAGCCCGCCTCGGCGCGGCGCGGCCCGCTCGGCCGCTGGTTGGGTCGGTCCGCGGCGAGCAGCGCCACGGCCAGCACTGGCCGCGTCCAGGGAAGTCCTTTGTGACGCTCTTTCGGCCCTTCGTTATCGAGTGGAGTGCGCCCGTGTGAGTTAGTGAGTGTCGCTCTGCACGCAGGGCGACGCGGGGCGACGCAGGGTGGTGGAGTGCTCTGCGCTGATGCGGGATAATCTCTTGACGAAGTCCATCCGACTGATGAGGTTCTGCGTCAGGCCGTCAGGCGCGCGGGAGTTTTTCGCGTGTCAACACACTCGACTCACTCACTCACCCACCTTCCCTCTCGCACGGCAGTCTGTGCACTCGGGACGGCCGGGACGGCACCGCGGGGGGTGCCTGAGTAATCATTTTCGACTCGGTGAGCGAACCGACGGGACCGTCGTGCGACTCTGGCGGTTTCGGATTGGTTCCGAACTGGAGCAGCAGCAGCGCACAGTGGGCCAGGAACCGACGGAGGCGGACAAAATTCTAGACGCGTTTTGAGCTCCAGAGGCGCTAAACAGGACTCGAACCGAACGTGTGACCCCACCAATGGATTCCTCGTCCGGAGAGCAATCCATTGGTGGGGTCACACGGTCGGTTCGAGTGCCATTTAGCGGCTCTGGAGCTAAAAACGCGTCTAGAATTTTGGCCGCCTCCGCCGGTTTCTGGCCCACTGTGCAGCGAGCGCCTGCCTGCCTGACTGCCTGACTGCTTCCCTCCCTGCCCCCGCTGCGGCGCGTCACTTCCCTGGAAAGCCCTCTGGTGACTCATTCCGCCCTTGCTGCCATCTGTCTCCCTCGCACTCATGAGGCACGCGGGCACGCCGCGGGGGTGCGAGAGAGACAGAGCGCCTCCCGCACATCAATCAGGCGGGCGTGGCGGAGAGCGGCGGCGCTGCGTCGGGAACTGACCTTGGCTAGGCTTGTGGCCGCGCAAAGGATTTTGGAGGCGCGGGCCGCGGGGCGGGGGGCCCAAGCTGAGCGCGGGGTGGGGGCCGCGCGGGGGCCTTTGTACTCATCCAGACCGCGGAGCGCGGAGCCCGGGCCGATCCCAGGCCAGCCCGCGGCGGCAGCGGCGTAGCCACGCGGAGCGGCAGGGAGCAGCACGCTCCTGCAATGGTGGTGGTGACCCAGCGCGGCCGGCGATAAGCCGGTCAAAGAGTGGTATGACAAATCGAGTCGCCACCTGGTTCGCGCCTCACGCTGTACCAGCAACGCCTGCCAGGAGGCCGCCGCCGTGTACGTCCCCGACGGCGTCCCCGACGGCGACCCGAGCCGTGCCGCCACTCATCACCCGGCCACTCGACCTTTGCCCTCCCCGATGAAGCCTGGCGTGTCCGTCCGTTCGTTACCTCCGGGCGCCGTCGTCCCGATGCCGCGGGCCTGGCGGCCGCCACCGCCAGAACTAGATCTCTCTGGCGGAGGAGAGACAGGCAGTGCTTCGCCTTGGCCGGGAGGGAATACAGGTGGGGGCTGTTGGCGGGCCATCCCGTCCCATCCGTCGATCCCATTAGAGAGGTGGCTGGGATGCAAAGCGAGGCAGCGAGGCAAGGCAAAGCGACCCCCACCCCCGGTTCATCCACCAGCCTAGCTGCTCTCGTGTTGTGGGCTATGGCTTGTGCGCGCTGCGCCGTGCTGCGCCGTGCTGTCCGCCAGTGTGTTGTTTGGCCGCGCTGCGCCCTCGCCGTTTTATCTCGGCGCTTACTGCACCGGCCGGCCAGGCTGCGCCCCGCCCCGCCCCGCCCCGCCTCGCCCCGCCCCGCCCCGCCCCGCCCCGCCCCGCCCCGCCACGCCCGCACGATAGCGGCGTCTGGCGACGTCCTTATCACCGTGGGCGCGCTCTGGCGGCGCGGCCGCGAAGCAGCTCCGGGCCCCGGAACGAGTCCCTCTTCAGGGGGGCGGAACCCGCAAAGGTGCTTGTCGAACTGTGTGCCGCCGCACTAGAAAAATAAATAATAACCATTTTGTTGTTGGTGTTATCGTCGTTTTTTCGGGTCGGTCGTGTTCGGTCCACATGCCGCCTCCCCCGGCGCTATTTATTAGTGGGAAATGCGGAGAGCTTCGCGGCTTCGCAGCGCCGTGCTCATTATGGGTAATTTCCCCCCCCCCCCCCGAATTAGTCGTCGCCTTGAGTGGGCCGGCCGGAGCTCTTAGTCAATGTCCACCGATGTGATGTGGTGAATCCGTTTTGCTCTTGTTGTTGTTGTTGTTGTTGTTGTTGTTGTTGTTGCTGCTGCTGGTGGCTTTGGTCGTCGTGTTGCTGCCCGGCGGCCCTGACTGGCCCTGCCCCGCGGCGCGCGATGGCGGCGGCGCACAGTGGGCCAGAAGGCCGGTGGAAGCGGCCAAAGCTCTGGACGCGTTTTGAGCTCCAGAGTCGCTAAATGAGGCTCGAATTGAACGTGTGACCCCACCAATGGATTCCTCGTTCGGAGAGCAATCCATTGGTGGGGTTACACGTTCAGTTCGAGTCCTATTTAGGGACTCTGGAGCTCAAAGCGGGTATAGAGTTTCGTCCGCCTCCACCGGTCTTCTGGCCCACTGTGCGGCGGCCGGCCGTCTGGCAGTGCTGGTGCTGGCGGTGGTGGCGGTGCTGGCGGGGCGGAGCGCCCGATAAGGGGACGAAGCAGGGGGGCACTGGAACCGGTTGCGCTCGCAGGGGCTGTTCCGGGGTGGAGGCCTGCATCACCCCCTCGGGGGGGATGTACTCCTTCACCCTGACTGGCCATACTGCGAGTGGGAGTCGTAGCCGCTTGAGGTTCTTCTCCGCCGGGAAAAAGTGTCACCTTAGTAAGGACGGCCATGTCTCGTTTTGCAGTGCAGGCGGGTATGTGTCGGGCCCGAAATGGCATACGATCATGTGTGGTCTAGCCCTTAATGGTAATGGTAATGGCGGATAGGCACCACGCCGCCAGCCCTGCGTGCGGGTTGCCTATCCAGCACGGCGGTCGGTGTAGTAGTGCAGCAGTGCAGTGCCCGGTGCAGTGCCCGGTGCAGTGCAGCGGGAGACGAGACGGAGACGGCGAGACTGACCGTGGTTGTTTTTGTTGTGTTGCAGGCGACAAGTTCCGGCTGGTGCTGGCCACGACCCTCCGTGAGGACGGCTACCCGGACAGCGGCGAGTACAACCCCCAGGAGTCGATGGACTCGGGGCGCGCGTCCAGCTTCGAGTACGTCATGTACGGCAAGGTGTACCGCATCGAGGGCGACGACTCGTCTCAGGAGCCTTCCTCCCGACTGTGAGTATCTTTGGTCTCCCTCTCTCTCTCTCTGCGGTTTATTTTTATTTTTCGTCCGGCGCGCGGGGTTGCTTCGTTTATTGTCTCTTTCCGCTCGGTTTGCGTTGATGCCGTCGGGGTCGCCGCCGTCGTGTACAAGGTGGTGGTGGATTAGCACCACGGTCTTATCAGCCTCCTCTCCCCCTCCCCTGGGCCGTCGTGCCTGAGTGAGCGGGGCGGGGCGGGGCGGGGCGGGGCGGGGCGGGGTGACTCATCAGGACGACGCACCGACAAATTGGCTCGGATCCGCTTCTCGAAAAGCGAATCGCCCTGCACCCCTTCTTTGTGCTCTCTGCAACACGGCGGCGGCTCCTTTCCGGCCTCCTTTTTATTTTCGACTCCCCCCTCTCCCCCCCCCCTCCCCACCGCACCTTCCGACGGTGATGGATGAGACGCCACATGACATTGGCATTGCGCGTTCGGAGCGTTTGCAGCGTTCGCCGACCCCGTGCGCTTGATGTGTCCTTTGTGCGAGAGGCCCTGTGCATCTGACGCGCTGGTCAGGGCACGGCCACACCGGCGGCAGGGCGGACGGGCGGACGGACGGACGGACGGTCAGACAACCAGACGGATGACATGACAGTTCGTCTGATTTGACCGACACAGCCGTGAACGCGGAGGGGGGGGGGGCGAGGTCATTTACTTTGGCCACTCCTGCCGAGCAAAGTATCGTGTGCCGTTGTGGCGCGCGGACTGCTTCGGCGTCTCCGGCGCGCGGCCTTGGACCGGCGCGAACCCTAGCTCTGCCGCCGGAACGCGACCCTGGGCGAGACGAGGAGGGTGGCCTTCTTGGGGGAGACGCCTCGTGCCGAGGGCCGAGGGGGCGCGCTCCCCTCCGAGTCCCCCAAGACCCACGCTCCGACGACCCCTCGCGTCTGCTTTCTCCCTCTCGCCTCGCACGTGGAAGGAAATGCCAGTGACTATGCGCAGCCTCTGACTCAGCCGCAGCGACGGGGACTTTCCCAAAAGCCCGATAGGGCCTTGCTCTGCTCGTTCGTTTAATTTTGGGCCGCCGTTCCGACTAACGACGCGCTGCTGTGCCTGCAAGGGCGTCCGGCGCACAGTGGGCCAGAAGACCGGTGGAGGCGGCCAAAACTCTAGACGCGTCTTGAGCTCCAGAGTCGCTAAACAGGATTCGAACCGAACATGTGACCCTACCAATGGATTCCTCGTTCGGAGAGCAATCCATTGGTGGGGTCACACGTTCGGTTCGAGTCCCATTTAGCAACTCTGCAGCCCAAAACGCGTCTAGAGTTTTGGCCGCCTCCACTGGTCTTCTGGCCCACTGTGCGGCGGCGCGACGCGGCCAGGCAGGCAGGCAGGCAGCCAGGCAGGCAGGTGTGGCCACAATCACGGCGTGGGTGGAGGCCCAGGTCGTTACCACGGCTGGTCAGGTTTTGCGCCACTCATCCTCGTCCAGTCTTCCTTCCCTCTCACTCCGCCACACGGGAGCGGTGCGGGTGAGAGGGGGAGGGACAGAGAGGGAGAACGCGTAACGCCGCACCTTGCCGTGTCTTTGTTTTGCGAGCTGCGAGCGCGCGGCCGGCGGGCCCGCGTCTTTTTCTTTGTGTTTCTTTTTCTTTTTGTCTCTTTCTTTTGCCCGGGCCTCCGTGGGGGATGATATGAATTTGGATCCCGGCGAGAAACGCGCCTCTGTTTATTGGAAGGTTCGCGCGGTGTCCCTCTTCACCTGTTCGGGGAGGGTCCCCCCGTGTTTGGCGGAGGGTCCGTTTGCTCTCGGTCTCGGTGTGTCGAGTCCGGCCGTCTTGGTGTGGACGCCCTCGCCCTGTACACTGATTCCGAGAGTCGTTTTCGTCGCTCTGCCTCTCTCGCACCTATACGGGACGCCCCATGAGTGCGAGAGAGACAGAGCGGCGAAAACGACTCTCGGAATCAGTCTGCTGACGGCCCGACGGACGCCCTGACCCGGCCGAACGAACGAAATGCACCGCGACGGGCCTTGGCAGGCCTTGGCGCCGTCGCCACCAAACTTCCCGTCTGGCCCGCCGCAGTGCTTTCGTCGCTCTCTCTCGCCCGCACTCGACGGCCGGCCCGCTGGGGTGCGAGAGAGACAGAGCGACAAAGCACTTCTCGGAACGAGCCCGCCGCGGTCCTGAGGCCTTGCTCGGGAAGGCGTCGGCGCGACCCCCCGGCCCCCTCGCCCCCCAAGCCCAAGGTGACGCCTGGGCTGCCGTCCGCGGGGCACGGCGACGACGACGGCGTCCTGGTGCTGGACGGCGACGTCGCCGCCCTCGCCGCCACGCCGCTGACGTCACCCCAGCAGGGCCAACCTGACGAAAAAAAATGCCGCTGCATGCTGAGCTGTGGTCGTGGCGTTGCCGTGGCGACGCCGCTGCGTTCTAGGCGTTTTAGTGCGTGTGGCTGGGCGTGACGTCACCGCGCCACGTCAGTGGGCCGGGCGGGGCGGCGGGGCGGCGGGGTGGGGGCCGGTGGCGGCGGGGAGGGTTGGCTGCGCGCTGCGCGCACGTGGAGAGGGTTGCGGGTCATCTCGGCGCCAGGCGAGCTCGGCGGAGTAGTTCCTCTTATTCCTCGATCTCGCTCGGCTCGGTTCGTCGTGCTGGCTGCCTACGCGGAGGCGTGTGTGTGCACTGCAAGCGCCGTGCTGACGTCATGGCCTCCCTCCCCACACCAATCCGTGTGGCTTAAATCGCTCCTGCGGCCGAGGGGCAGAGCGTGGCGGGGGTGTGGCGCTGCACGGTGGGCCAGAAGCCGGTGGAGGCGGCCAAAACTCAGGACGCGTTTTGAGCTCCAAAGTCGCTAAATGGGACTCGAACCGAACGTGTGACCCCACCAATGGATTCCTCGTTCGAAGAGCAATCGATTGGTGGGGTCACACGTCCGGTTCGAGTCCCATTTAGCGACTCTGGAGCTCAAAACGCGTCTAGAGTTTTGGCCGCCTCCACCGGCTTCTGGCCCACTGTGTGGCGCTGACGCCGCCAACCGCATGGCTGCGCCGGGCACGTGGTTAACCAGCTTCCCACAGGCGGGATAGGCGCGTAAGGTGCCCCGGTCCGGTGCAGGCCTCGGTGCGGGCAGTGGGAGAGGTCAGTGGCGAATTGGGCCTTCGTGGAACGAGCCGCGATTCCGATTCAACGAGCCCGGTCTGCCACGGCCTGCCTCGGAGAAGGACCAGAGTGCCCGGCAAAGCGTAACATTGAACTAGGTGGAGGGTCATTTCATTTCGCGTCCACTCTCTGGAACTGACTGAAAATGTTTCCCTCAGATTGTACACGGCTTTCGTCAAATTTTTTTGGTGTGTGGCTGTACTGTTTCTTTCTCGCTCGGCTGGCAGCGCTGGTCGCGAGGATTTCCATGACAGGCAGCGAAATGTGTCTCTGTGGGAAAATGAATGCCCGCCGACTTTTGTCGACGAGCCTCGAGCGCCCGACGACACGGCGACCCGGCGTCTGTGTGTGTGTGTGTGTGTGTGTGTGTGTGTGTGTGTGTGTGTGTGTGTGTGTGTGTGTCCGTGTGTGTGCCTTGTGTTTCCTGCGCGCGGCCCCGGCCCCGCTAAGCCCCGCCCAGACCGCTCTTCCTCGTACAGCGTGTTTTTCGAACGCCGAGGGAAAAGTGGCGCGGTATGGCGCGAGGCGCGAGCGTTCTGGATTTGCAGACGAAATTGGGAGGGAAAGGGAGGAGAAGGATCGCCCCCCGCAGATTGTCTACAACCAGAGCAAACATTTCTTGAATCAAGAAGATTGAGTTTGGAAGAGGCAAATTTACTTTGAGTGTACGTACCTGATGCAGATTCGTTGTCGGCCGCCCCGTGAGTCAGGCGGCCTGTCCGTGTCGCGAGTGTGCAGCCCACAGTGGGCCAGAAGCCGGTGGAGGCGGCCAAAACTCCAGACGCGTTTTGAGCTCCAGAGTCGCTAAATGGAACTCGAACCGAACGTGTGACCCCATCAATGGATTGCTCTCCGAACGAGGAATCCATTGGTGGGGTCACACGTTCGGTTCGAGTCCCATTTAGCGACGCTGGAGCTCAAAACTCGTCTAGAGTTTTGGCCGCCTCCACTTGTCTTCTGGCCCACTGTGTGGCGCTTCGCGAATGCTCCCGCGCGCGGGGTGTCGCCGCGGCCCGCGTCGCGCGGAGTATTTCCGCCGATACCCTGCCGCTGCTCGGTCGCTGCGCCGAGGCGCGGCGTGTGGACGCGGCGCTCCGGCACCAGGGGGCAGCACCTGCACTGCGAGCGGCAGCGCGGCCGGGGCCTGGAGTAGGGCCTTTCGGGTGGAGTGGCGGTGCCGCACAGTGGGCCAGAAGACCGGCGGAGGCGGCCAAAACTCTAGACGCGGTTTGAGCTCTAGAGTCGCTATGCAGGACTCGAACGGAACGTGTGACCCCACCAATGGATTGCTCTCCGAACGAGGAATCTATTGGTGGGGTCACACGCTCGCTTCGAGTCCTGTTAAGCAACTCTGGAGCTCAAAACGCGTCTAGAGTTTTGGCCGCCTCCACCGGTCTTCTGTCCCACTGTGTGCCGGCGGGGCCCTAACTTGGGGCCTAACTCCCTCCTCCGCGCCCTGAGCCACGCCTCGCCTTCGCCGCGTGACCTTAGCGACTCGCCGGCGCTGAAGCGAAGCGCGAAGCGCGGCGGCAAGCCCGCTCTGCACTGCGACAAAGGTTTCGGCCGGATGTGAATGACAATATGGACGAGCCGAGATGGTGCCGCGTCTCGCCCCGCCCCGCCCCGCCCCGTGCGAGCGACCGGGAAGGAACCGGCGCCGGGATCTTGGTCATAAGTGGTGTCGAAAAGCCGTCCTTTTTATGCCGGGGGTCGAAAGTGACTCGATCGGGGTGATTAAGCATGAAAAAGCGTTTTCTCCCACGGTAGTCTAGTCTTATTTCAGTTTTATCATCTTCGAGACGGACGGTCCACGGCGAGGGGGTATGCACTCGCGTAATAGTCGGTACACTCTATCTGTAATAGCTTGCGTAATAA